TCAGCAGGAGCCCAGCCTTCCCGAGAATACCACACCCACACGCCTGGTGCCTGGTGCCCGCTCTCTTCACGCCCACAGCAGCAGGCAGGCCCCGTGCCGAGCACTCTGCGGTGTGCTCCTGGAGTCCTGGGACTCACACAGGAGCCCTAGTGCGAGTGAGCTGGCCACGGCCTCTGCTCTTCATTGCCAGGTTCTGCTACGTTTAACCCTTCTTAAAAAAAACAAAAAAAAACAGGTTCTCACTACGATGCCCAGAACAACCTTGAGCTCGCGGTTCTCAGGCCTTAGCTTCCCCTAGCCACCAGGACTACAGGCTTACACTGCCGTGCCTGGCCTGAGGGTTGGCCTGGGAACCGGCTCCGGGCCTCCCGTTGCCCAGCCTACGGAGCAGTGTGTGACCAGCAGGTGCCATGTGGCTGGGCCTGTATTTGAAGTCATCCTCACTACCACCCTGTGGAGCACATGCTATAATCAGACCCATCTCAGAGATGTGGAAACTGAGGCCCGGAGAGTTATCTCCAGCATCACACACAGTAAATAAGACATGAAAGAGGACCGGCGGCATGGAGCTTAAAGGCGCTGGACACTCCCACACAGCTGACCACGGTTCAAGTCCCGGACCTGGTGGCTTGCTTTCTCACTTTCTCTCTCTGGTCAAATTTAAAAATAAATAAATGTAGGGACCAGCAGTTAGCATAATGGCTATGTTGCTGGACTCCCATGTAGTCGACCACGGTTCAAGTCCCGGCCCCAGTGGCTTAAACTCACACTGGGCGCGTGTGTGCGTGCCCAAGATCCTGAGAGGAGGATGGAGGAGAAGGGATTGCAGCGTGGCCATCCCCCCTGGGGAGTGATTTCTCACTTTCTGTCTCTCTGTCTCTCTGTCTTTCTGGTGAGCACATGCGCCCTTATAGCAAAAACCTCTCCAAAAAAAAAAAAGCAGAAACCTCTCCAAAATAAATAAATAAATGAATAAATAAAGTTTTTTTAAAAAAACTTTCTTTGAAATAAAAAGACATGGAGGCAGCATTGGAACCCTAACCTGACTGAAGGCTTCCCCAGTGGGCTTTCTTAAAAAGCAAAAAAACAAACCATCCAAACCAGGATCAGGGCCGACTCTGTGGTGCTCGAGACAAGCGGGATCCCACCTGGCAGCCGGGCTTGAACTCCCAGCTTGGTCGGCCTAAAACTCCCCAGGCACGATCGCCAGTGCCGCAGGTCTGGGGGGTTGGAGGAAGAGGATCATGGGCGACCAGACCCTGTGGGAGGTGCTCCCTCCCCACTTCATCTCACCCCCACACGTGCACACACGCTCGACCGTGAATGAAGAAAAGCGTTGAAGAAACAGAACACGGGACCGAGGTTATTCTACTGCTGTGCCTGTGGACAGAGGCCGCGGGCTACCCTACGGGTCTGCAGTCCCCTCACCCTGCCTTCGTCCAGCAGGCCGGTGCCTCGGGCCTGTGTCTAGGTGAGGCCCAAGTGACCCCTCCAGGCACGACGAGCGCCCGCTCTGTCCCGGGCCACGCCACGGCCTTCTCCGCATCTTCTCACCCTCCCCCGAGCACAACCCCACGAGGACGGAGACGAGGGGCTGAGAAGGGGGCAGTGGTGTGCCCGGTTACGGTCTGGCTGACCCTCCTCCCAGCCTGCCCTGGTCCTGGTGAGCCACGGCGTGAGGACAGGGGCCGGCTCCACAGGACGGGGTCCTCGCACTGCCCAAGGCTCCTCATTCCGCCAGTACTAGGCAAGTGCCCACTGGTCCCCTGCTGCGGGCTGTCCAGGCACGAGGGAATAAGCAGACGGCCCGGCCCCGTGTGGTCGCGGGCGAGGAGCGTGACATCGGAGCCGTACAGGAAGGCCGGGGTTCGCATTCCAGCTCAGCCTGAATACGTTGGCTGTGCCCGGGATCCTGACTGGCTAGAACGGCAGGGTCGGGAACTGTGGCACGACGAGACCCTTTAAAGGGTACCTCTCTCTCTCTCTCTCTCATTCAAAATAAATACATCAATAAACTAAAAAAAAAGGACACGGTCCGCCCTCTGCTTCCCAGCAGTGGAGGAGAGACGGTAAGTGTGCAGGCACAAAGCACACAATTAGACTGTCTGCGGGCTGACGAGACAAGGGACCAGTGCTGCGATGGAAAGTAAGAGCACTGGGCAGTCGGCGAAGCTGGCCTCGGCCCTGAGGCCAGACGAGGAGCCAGCCGGCCCGCACAGGTAACGTCCCGCACAGCTAAGGAGCGGAGAAACCTGCAGGGCCCAGGCTGGGTGCGGATGGCTGCAGGTGTGTGGCTGGAGCCCAGACGGCAAGCAGCCACTACTTGGGGCCTTGGCAGCATTTGAGAGTCCTTTTTTTTTCCTTTTAAGAGAGATTTTTGCTATAGGGCACATGTGCTCACTGGAGAGAGAGAGAAAGTGAGAAATCACCCCCCAGGGGGGATGGCCACGCCACACAATCCCTTCTCCATTCTCCTCTCGGGATTTTGGGCACACACGCACACATGCCCGGCGTGAGTTTAAGCCACCGGGTCCAGGATTCAAACTGCAATCGATTACGTGGGAGTCCAGCGACGTAACCATTACTCCGTCAGCTGGGCCCAGGATTTGGAAGAGTCCTAACTTTTGCCTGGTACCCTTGTGAGCCCCCGTGGGTTTCCGGGTACGGGTTCTCAGGGCAAGCGTGTTACCAGGTGCATGGTGTAGAACTTGATGGTGTCCTGCTGGGAGTCCCATTCGGTGGCCACTGCGATGGCCAGGGCCTCGCTGGGGACGGTAAATAGCTTGGCTTGGGGAGTCTTCAGCTTCCTGTGGTCCAGGTTTATTTCAAAGCCACCTTGAAAGACCAAATGAAAAACCCTCAGGGACTGTTGAGTGGAACCGAGTGACCAGTCCTATATTTAGCCACTTGAATTGGTGCGGACAAAGCAATGCCGAGTCCCCGACAGAAACATATCTGACAAAAGCAGGAAGGATAATCTCACCACTGAGCCGGCTGGAGATGAAAAATGTTTCAACCATTCACAAAAAAAAAAAAAAAAGAGAGCGAGCGAGCGAGGCAGTCAAATTTCCGACACTCACCTTCACCCTGTGTGATGCTGACATTCTGATAAAACCTCTTCCTTTCTGAAAGAAAGATGTTTCAAAAAGGCAGTTTAAAATAATGTCAAGGCAGCTCAGGAAGCGGCAAGCCCGCCCGTGCTGCCGCTGCTAATGCTCGCTGATTGGCCTGACTCTCCCCTCACCACTCACGGGCCCTGGTCTGCACCATGTAATCAACAGCTTCTGATTAGAGCTGGGGGAGGGGAGAGCCGAGCTCCAGTAAGGGAGGAACGGACGTGCCGGTCATGCCTCTGCCAGTCCCCAAGCCCAGGGACAAGTCTGCAGACCGTGTGACCCGACAGTCCCCGACACCTTCTGCTGATCTCCGCGTGCTCCCACGCCGCCCCCCACCCCAGGGCTGTCCACCTGCCAGCACATCGAGCCGACTCTGAAGCCAGTGCTGGGGCAGAGCCAGAGGCCCAGGGTAGGCAAGACTGACTCCTGCAGGAGCCGGCGAGCAGAGAGCACCACACGTATCCGCGTGTGCGTGTGCATGCATGTGTGCACGTGTGTGGGGAGCGGGCAGAAAGTGAGGCTCCCACGAGCCCTTCCCATCCCTCTTTCCAATTAATTAACCTAATTAGCCAGCTTGCTTGTGTATTCAACAGGAACTCCAATCATTTCCTTCGAGAAGGGGGAGCGCTGTGTCCCGTGTCTTCTCTTGAAAACCGCTAGAATGAATCTTACACGAGACTGTGAACACGTTCTCCCCTGACCCTGGCAGGACAAGCAGCAGGAGCAGTGGGCCCAGGCCGGCAGACGCTGTGCTCCCGGGCCGGGCCCACAGGGAGGCCTGCGTGTGACTCTGGTGAAACCTTAGGCCTGAGCACGGTGGTGTGAGCCTGTCATCCAGCCAGGGGAGGCCGAGGCAGGACGACGGTGAGCCGGAGTGCGGCCTGGGCAGCGCGGCCAGGTGAAGGCCAGGTGTGCTGGCACGTGCCTGCAGTCCCAGCGGGGGCTGAGGTGGGGGCTGCTACAGGCGGAGCCCCCCTGGGCCTCTCGAAAGGAAGAAAAGGGACAAAGGAAATAATCCCTGGTGGAGGACGATGCAGAGCCCAAGTAATAAAAAACAAATAGGTCCTATTTTACTTTATTTTTTAACAGTATTTTTTAAAGAATTATTTTATTTAACTTTATTTATTCATTTGTTCATTTCAATTTGACCAGAGAGAGACAGAGAGAGAGAGAGCGAAAGTAAGCCACCAGGTCCAGGTCTCGAACCGCAGTCAACCACAGGGAATCCAGCGGTCAACCATGGGGAATCCAGCGCCTTTAACCACCATGCCACTTGCTGGTCCTGAGCCTACAAACCAAAATTCAGGCTCTCCTATCTATGGCAAACACAAAACCTTCACTCATTCACTCATTCATTCTTTCACGCATTCATTGGGTGAAAAAAAAAAAAAAAAGCCTTCAGAGACCCTGACTGAAGTTACTTTTTGGAAATGTATGATAGAACACATGGAGGAGAGGGAGACTCATCAAAAGTTTGCTTTCTGGGGACCAGCAGTTAGCATAATGGCTATGTCGTTGTACTCCCACGTAGTTGACTGCGGTTCGAGTCCCAGACCCGGGTGCTTAAAACTCACAGCGGGTGCGTGTGCCCAAGATCCCGAGAGGAGAATGGAGGAGAAGGGACTGCGGCATGGCCATCCCCCCTGGGGGGGGTGACTTCTCGCTTTCTGTCTGTCTCTCTCTGTCTGTCTGGTGAGCGCACGCGCCCTATAGCAAAAACC